TACGTGCCCGACTACGTGCAACACGATGTTTTATTCTCAAGTCTTTTCAGATTCGATACTGTTTTGTCTTCTTGATCCTTCAAAAAGCCAAAATGCTCAGGTTTTGAAATTTGGAGCTGCAAACATATCCAGAATGCGAGATCCTAAAACAGGATTTGGTTTCATTAACTTTGTCAAACTACTTAACAAAACTTTAAGCATTCCGCCATTCAAGGTTCTTAAAGCAAACAAGGACAAAATCTGCCTAGCTGATTGTGCAGCAGACAAGAAATGTATTTCGTTTAACTTCGCAAAAGCTCCAGACTCCACTGGATTACATCGGTGTGACTTTCTTGGTTCAGACCGTTTTAATAGAACGAAGAACTTTCAAAACAGTGCTGATTACCACCACTTAACACCAAAGGTAAGCATGAAACTTTAAATTCGCGGAGGTTTAGGCAGTCAGAACATTATAGCCGCGGATTTAACACTGTATTAACATCATAACCAACGAGGTGGCGGGTGAATTAACGTCTGAATCAAACGAAACGATCTTCTTAGMCGACTTCTTAATTGACAAGGAAATATTGTGACTCTTACATCGATTCTTACCGGTATTGACCGCMYWAAAAATAYTATCTTTCACAGTAAATATCCTAGATACACGAGAAGATATGRAATCCGAATCTCCAAACGCCCCGTGTAATATCCTCTATRCATTGAGTGATTCTTGAAACATCTAAGGAGACATGCAAAGTTTCGCCATCCATRCCCTGCGAATAGTATTTTTAAATACGTTTTTTTATGATACAGARGCGCTAGGATCTAAAGGGTTATGCATTCCACCCTCCCCTTCCCACTTTCYCCTCTTGACTTTATTTTTCTGGTAAAGTCATAGAAACAATGCTTTATTGTAAGATATCATTAGTTATTAATTATATTAATTACACTTATTAATTATGCTCATTTTCCGTCTTACCTATKTCGATGATTTATAATCTTTCTGAATCTGACATGCATCACAGACGCATCACATTTATTTATTTTTTTCCCTGCAGACTAAATGCTCAACAACTCTATGCAAGAATAATGGTATCTGTGTTCCAGATTACGATAACAATTCCTTCCTCTGTGAATGCAAACACTTTTTTTCTGGAAACTTCTGTGAGAYAGGTAAGTAGTTGAAGGGRGAAAATAGYATCGTTTGATAGAGTACACCATCGTCGACAATTCCACCAAGTTTCAAGTCTCAATGTTTGTAGCCATCAAGAAGCAGAAATTATAGAAGCAAGCAAACATTTCTTAGTAATTATGGCGTTTTCTTCTTGCCTTCTTCTGTATTTGTGTCATAGTTGTTCCTTGCTGCATTATTTTTGAGGGAAAAAAGACTGGTACTGAGTCTTGGAGGTGGGGGAGGGGATATGAAAAACAGCGGGTAAATACGAATATTTGACAGTTTTTGACAGTTCTGAAATATGCAGTATTAAATACCAAGGAAGTCATTTTTAATGAATTTCAAAAAGAAATCGACATGAAAATATCGGTTTTTACCTCTTGATAACTAAATGTCTCATTTTTCCTCTTTCAAGACGTCATATTGCTCAATGCTGTGTTGTTGTGATGAGTGAGCCAATCACGATTGAGATAAAAGAATTAACATGATTAATATGAATTTTGCAAGACTATATTTTGCATAATGGTCTCCTTCCACTTTGAATCRGATATCTAGCAATCACAAACTAAAAAAATCAAACGCTCTGAAAAAATGATGATAATRAAAAAATTAAAGRAGGGATGACATGCGGAACTATAGCATTAATACAGCTTTTCCTTAGAAATTCATATTGTCATTCTCTTTAATTTGACATGCATAGTTTGCAATGGTAAGAGTGGGGCTCTTGGCATGAGTGATTTCCGAATCAAAAAGTCTCAAATTGGATCTTCTACTCACAACTCCCCTGAAACTGCGCCATGGAATGGAAGGCTCAACACAGAAATAGAGGGTAAAGGCTGGGTGGCATACAATAAATTGAAGGGAGAATATATCTCGATTAGGTTTGGCAATGATACAATGATTACCCAAGTTGCAACTCAAGGAAGAGCCGCATGGGATATGTATGTCACTAAATATTCCCTAAAATACACTACTGACAATCTTCAATGGGTCTTCTATCTAAATTCTTACGGAGGAAAAAAGGTAAATTTAAAATTTCAAGCATATAATATTATAAAGTCTAAATATTTAGTGATCGAAAAACTAGAACAAAACTAGTGAGTATTATCAGGAGTCTGTTCTGACTTCTAAGTAACTGTTCTTGAACGTCTTTTTCTGGAAAATTGGGCTTCATTGTTGTCAATCTCACATGTTGTCAATCTCACAAGCAGATGTAGCGCCTTTCCTTCTTTAAAATAATTTTGTTCCTGAAAAACTTTTTTATAGTCGAAAACGGCTTACATAACATTAGTTTAATCCTTTTTTTGGTTCTAAGGAATTTTTATTCCTGGCAAACGTTTTATGGACAAAAAAGGTTTAAATTATTTTTAGTTAGGGAATTTTTTATTTTCCTGCCAAACATTTTTAGAAAGTATTCCTTGCCTGGAGAGCTCTTTTTACAGYTGGCTGGGACATAATAAGAACATATATATTTCTACAGTTATTTCTTAATTAATTGGTCATTGAGTGCTATTACATATAATGCTAATAATTTTCTATGTACAATTTAGACTCAAATTAAAAGCACAAAATTAGCACAAAATTACTGAGCTATTACAAATTCTTTTATTTCTTTAATTTCATTTTACTTCAGATCTTCCCTGGAAATAACGACATGCATACAGTGGTGAAACATACACTTTCTGCTCCATTTGCTGCAAAAGCAATTCGATTTGTTGTTGAAGCTTTTTACAATCATCCATCAATGCGAGTTGAAGTCTACGGCTGCGCATGAAGAGGGGAACGTCGAAAATGAATGAAACTTTGAAGTGCGACTACTGCGACGACTAAAAATGTTATTTGTAAATAAACCAGTACTTTGCCGTTACTAAGGAATTTGGCCAGTTAACTCCTTTTGTGCTATCTAACGTTTGCATCTAATGATTCTTTTGAAATCATTGCTTCTGTCAACGGTAATTATTTTACTTCAATTTCTCACTGCATGTATACTTKTTATTTTGCAAGACTTTGCTTACCCAAACAAACTGTCGTCACTTGATTTATTGACAGAATATTCATATAAAACTCAAATTTATATATCATCATTACCGTATTCTTACAAACAATTAATTTAGTTTTAGGTTATGACGCAGTTTAGATTAGTTCGTTATTAGTATTTGTAGAGTAAGCTAAGGTCATCCTAAGACTGGGGAATTCCCCTTAGTATGCGGTGTTATTCCATAATCGGTTATTGATTCTAGTTAGCATTAAATTGTGATTTGCGTTTCGTCTGATGCTGTACATATAACAAGCAATTGTATTTATTAAAAAAAGAATATCCTGGTTCCAGAGGCTTATCTTTTGTTCTTTTGCATACTTTGTTGTCGAGCCGCGAAAGGTCAAGACTTTTCCGATCGGTTTGCTTTTTACGCCAAGCCTCTGGTATCAAGTGCAGGCAATGCTCAATTACGAAGTATGGCATCATACGACAGCTGTCAATCATGTCAAATAAAACTAACCAATCACAAACCAGTGATCGTAATCGCTTCTTGTATTCAGGAAAGGGGTCCTATGGGAATAGCCCAAAGACGAGCTATGGAGGTTGGGAGGAGGGTTGGGATTTNCATGTATACTTTTTATTTTGCAAGACTTTGCTTACCCAAACAAACTGTCGTCACTTGATTTATTGACAGAATATTCATATAAAACTCAAATTTATATATCATCATTACCGTATTCTTACAAACAATTAATTTAGTTTTAGGTTATGACGCAGTTTAGATTAGTTCGTTATTAGTATTTGTAGAGTAAGCTAAGGTCATCCTAAGACTGGGGAATTCCCCTTAGTATGCGGTGTTATTCCATAATCGGTTATTGATTCTAGTTAGCATCAAATTGTGATTTGCGTTTCGTCTGATGCTGTAAAACGTATATAACAAGCATATAACAAGCAATTGTGTTTATTAAAAAAAGAATATCCTGGTTCCAGAGTCTTATCTTTTGTTCTTTTGCATACTTTGTTGTCGAGCCGCGAAAGGGCAAGACTTTTCCGATCGGTTTGCTTTTACGCCAAGCCTCTGGTATCAAGTGCAGGCAATGCTCAATTACGAAGTATGGCATCATACGACAGCTGTCAATCATGTCAAATAAAACTAACCAATCACAAACCAGTGATCGTAATCGCTTCTTGTATTCAGGAAAGGGGTCCTAKGGGAATAGCCCAAAGACGAGCTATGGAGGTTGGGAGGAGGGTTGGGATTTAAAAATAGCTCTTGTTTTATTTATCTTTCAAATACACGTCAAGATGTGAGAAATTGTTACCTYGAACTTATGCCTTGMCATGAAATGTGTTAGTCCCGAGAAAACCCCATTTAATATTTTGCCGAAAACACTAGCAACTCTCTGTAGAGTTTGGCGTATATATAAGAGATAAGAGTATGTTATTTTTGGAGATAAATTGGGATTTTGTCAAAACGTTTGAGCTTATTATAGGTGCAAGATGCAAAGATAATGATACCAATTCATGATCAGTTTGTCGGAAATGCTCTCTYGAAACCTTGCTCTTTTGGAAAATCGTATGCAGGACAGAAATGRCGGATCAAAAATTCCACAAAACTTTGGGRAATTTGAAGAAGCTCTCTTCATTGAAATGCAACGCGACTTGGCACCTGCGTAAATATACACTCTAAAGGCTGTAAATATGCTTCCTAGAATAATATTTTGATAGTTTTAAATTCCATTGACTCAACGCGTAAAAAAAGGTTTTTAATGAAAATCTTTTTTAGTGACGTTATACAGGCGCAGTTTTAAGGGCTTTAGATTAGGATCTCTTTTCCCACAGGGCTTTATAAGTGAAGAACAAGTCGTGTTTTTTTTGCTGTGCTTTTTTTATTATCCAGTTATTCACCCTAGCGTATGACTGAGCTTTATGCATGTCGCCTCGTCTTCATCGTTTGGTTTGCCTACTGAGACGACATGCAAAGTCGAATATTATGGATGTTGGAAGAAGTCAAAATTTTTCAAATAATAAGTCTTTATAAGGTACAAAACCATAGGAAAAATTAGAATTGTGAGATCCATGATGGTGCTCTTTTAAGGAAATTAACGTGTTGAACACTAGGCCTTCGAAACATGTACTTCCATGGTTGCCGTTCCAGAACTGGACATAGATCCTCTCATTTTTAGTCCATATCCGAGTGTTTTTGTCTTCCAGGAATTATTACCTTTTATTGGATCGGCATCGTTGTAGAGCTCGTTGTACATTTTTTCGTCGGCTTTCTTTTCTCCAGGGTAGATCTTGAGGTTCCACCAGTTGNTGGGATCATAGATAAGTTTTTTAAAGCAATAGTCGAACTAAAAGGAAACTTTTAGAGAAAACAGGGAAATAATTCGATATTCTCAAATAACCTATTAGTCAAGTCAATGAAATATTAATATCTTATGAGCCGAGCGCGAGGGCCGTACAGGAAGTTATGGACCGAGTTTTTTTCCACTGACTTATGGCCAGCTGGCCATAAAAAGTGAAAAAAAACTCCGAGGCTCCATAACTTCCCGCACGGCTCGAGCAAGCGAGGTTAATAAGATATTCATTATATAGCATTTTCAGGGAAAAATAGTAAAATTGATAGAGAATCGGACATAAAAATGCGTTTTTGTTCGTACTTTTCTTGTCATTCAAAACAGAAGGAAAAAAGAAAAGCCTGAGAAACCTTGATGGCAAAATTTGGATTCATTTTTCACTCTTTTTTACAGTACAACTACAAAAAAAGAGAGAAAGCGAGCCTTTTTAGCCAATGAAATCTTATGTTACATCCGAGCTATATAATAATACGACTTATGAAATCAGTCTAAAATTTATTAAGCTTACTGAGTATTTCCTATTCTTKCTTTTGTGTATGTGTTTTTTTTTTGAAATATTCAGCACATTTTTTTAGCGAGTATTCAATATTACTAAGATTTTCGAGTACGATATTCAATATTCTCCTTCCACCCCGACTCTAATAACTTAACCTATTTGTAATAACTTTTTTGGAAATGTAAACGACTTATTAGAAATAACATATCCTCATTGGTATTTTTATATATTTTCCTCGTTKGTTTGAAAATCTAATTTCTAAATAAATGGCAATTACGAGTAAATATTTAAAAACACTATGGGATGCCTCTCGTATGAACAACATTAATCATGAACTTAAACTTGTC